GTGTGCACAATAGCAACAGTTAAGAAATGTTTCTCAAATGGAATTAGAAGTGGTCTTTAATATCCATTAGTACCCACAGGCCAGAAGATACTTTCTGAACCTATCGATCAAGATTGGTGATCCTATCCACTAGATTCCCTGTGTCCTTGTAATTCTGGGCATACTACAAAGTGTTTGTCAGCAAATGATATTGTTTGTTTCATTTACCTGTCTACTTGTCCATTTACAGTTTGAAATTATGAAGAAGGTATTGCTAATGTTTAGCATTTTAGTAAATTATATATGGGTGTGTATGTGTGGTGTGTGTGTGTGTGTGTGTGTGTATGTGTGTGTGCATGCTCACACATGCACCAGTTGAAGAGCGTCTTTGGCTCAAGGCTAGCATTCTACCACTTGAGCCACAGTACCATGTCCAGCTTTTTCTGAGTAGTTTACTGGAGAAAGAGTCTCATGACTTTCTTGGCTGAGCTGGCTTTGAACTGCAATCCATAGATCTCAGCCTCCTGAGTAGCTAAGGTTATGGGTATGAGCCACTGGCATCTGGCTATGGCTTATATTTTATAGGTGACTTTTTAAAATTTTCATATGATTAGATTTGAAAAAGCATACAGAAAATCTACTTTATAAAATTTACAGTGAGAATTCATGGTATCAAGTACTATGGAATTGGATCAAATAAGTATATAAATAAATGTTTACTTTTGATTAAAAACTGTAAACTATTAATCCAATTATTAGAATATTATTCAATCATACCAATGGCCTTTCAAAAGCAGAACGGATATATGCTTTCCTACTAGTCTTTATATTCTGATTTTGAAAATTTCTGTACATACATAAAGTTTGAAATTAAGATAAAGGCTGTCTCTCTCTCTCTCTCTCTCAGAAAAAAAATAGGTATTGATCTATTAGGGAAGGGATGAATATGAAATGGTGAAGTCTGCACATACCTTGTTATTATTTTATACCTAAGAGACAAATAATCTTTTTAAACAAAATGGCCTTATGCTCAATCCTGGAGATTAACTGACACAGAAGACAAAGCAGAACAGCTCCAGTGGTAAGGATCTTTCCTGGAAACATCTGCTACCAGCTGAGAGTGTTTACAGTCATGCAGCAGTGGCAGATGTGCTCAGAGCTGCCCATCTGCATGCTGCTGGAAGTCTGGGGCTAGGAAGCTGGTCTGGGCAGTCAACAGAGGATAAGGACACTGTCTTATCCCAAGGTTGAGAAAATGCAAGTTAACATACCATAGCAATGGTTTCTTTCTGTGGTACTATGGGACCAGTACTAAGCTAATTTAACTTGCAAAAGCAATAGTGTTAGTGGTGAGACTATTCTTAGAAATGTAGCTGTTATTACTATTTTATAAAGGGGAGTGATTGTTATAAGGATAATATAGAGAATAAATTGTTTACAGACTTGAAAATAGTATTAATAAAATATTTGGTCTAGGGTGAAAGAAAGCAAATAAAACTTTTTTTAGGTAGAGTTACACTATATATTCCTGGTCACAAACTCCATCTATATCAAAGGTTTCAAATTTGGATCCTGCTTCTTTAGTCTTCCAAATGCAAAGCATATTCCCAGCTAAAGCAAAATTCTTATTTGTCCTCTGTTTTGTTATGGATTTGTTTCTTTTATGTTCATGAGAATGAACATAATGTTCATGCTCTCTAGAAGAAAATTGCATTGTAAATAAGTTATTTAAACTCATCTACAACTCTTCAAAACCTCAGCTCTTTTACTATATTAATATATTTCCTGAACTTTCACAAGACAATTGTCACTTATGGAGTTGATTTTTTGTGTAATACATCATGGATTGCTCTTTACTTGAGAAGTTTATACTGTTGACTGAGTTGGAAAACAGGTATCTGGAAGCAAAAAATAAATGAATAGTTACATTTGTGTTGATATTTAATGTGTTCACATAGTTTTATTTTTGAAGTTTGATGATGTATTGAGCAGTCAAGTGACTGGGATCTTGTATCTGTCGAGGAGAGATCTAATAATAATGCATTTTTATATCTAGGACTCTTCTTTATATTCGTGGGCTCATGAGCAGTGAAGCTAATGCACAGGGGAAAACATTGAACTGCCCTTTGAAAGTGGAGTTTAGGCAGGTGAAATAATAAGAGAGACTAGGAAGAGAGAGACAGGGGACCAAAATCAATAGTGAACTGATGAGTTTAGCCATCTGCAGAAGTTCACCCTTAAGTGATTTCTGCAGGCAGTCACTAATGGAGATGAATGGAACTCCCAAATTCAATCAAAATATTTGGATTGGAATCTCAACTTAGATTCTGCAGTAATATGATGAATTTTGTGATACATAAAGTAATCATCTTAACAGAGAAGAACCAGGTTGTGTGTGCATATATATATTTGTTATGTATATTCATATATGCATACATAGACACATATATGCATATGCACATACATACATATGTATATACATATGCATATATATGTTTCATGTATATATAAGTATAGATATGTAAGAGCAAGAATATATGGTAGCTGGTGGCTCCCACTTACAATCCTTTATACATATATACCTAAGATAGCATCATGTGATATATCTATATATATGATATATCTATATATGTGTTTATATATCATATATATATCTATATATATAGCTTCCTTAGAGTCATTTCACAGACACCTCCCCCACACACATACACACAGACATAAACACCCATGTGTTTGCAGGCTGAAACTGGCAGTTTTCTTCACACATACAGGGAAAAGACACTGACTTAGAAGGTAGTTGTTTATATTAATAGAGGTAATAATGCAGCTTTGAGGTAGGGGCTTCTGGATATAACCAAAGCTTAAATTCTATATTCTTTGAATTATTCTTTTTATTTACTCACATGTACTTCCAATATATGCTCATAAAGTAATGATAGAGTTTGTCCTTCCAGAGGAGGACAGGGAGGAATGCAGATTTGCTGTCAGTGGGTCAAGTTCATATCCTTTAACTTCTTCCATAATCTTACTTGTAAAATTAGAATATTGCAGTGTTTAGCTCATGGATCTGTAATTACAATTAAATCAATTGATGTACGTAAAATAGCTAGACTCTATTTTGCTCAGATTATAGCCAGTTTACATATTACAACATAAGATACATGAATTGGGTATATAACATTTGGGGGCTACTATGAGCATATATTCATTCTATTTTACACCAACAGCCTTAAGTACTAGCAAATTCATATTAGTTTGATTCAGTAACCAAAAATGATCAAATATTCTTGAAAACATTAAAAATCATATTTCAATCAACTATCTGTTGCATCTTTAAGAAAGCGAATAATCCACTTTCATATCTATTACAGATCATTTATGTTGGCAGTACTGACCTTTGAACTCATAACCTTTGCTAGCACTTATTTAGTTGGCAGTCAACAATTTTTGTCACACCTGAAGCCTTGAAGTTTTCTTGCTGATTTTCTTGAAATGGAGTCTAACAGACTTTTCTTCCCAGGCTGACTTTGAACTATGATTCCCTGGGTCTTAGCCTTCCGAGTAGTTAGGATTCTGAATGGGAGCCACTAGCTCCTATCAATATCTGCCTTTTAATGATGCAATGTATAGTATAAAGAAATATAGGAATAATAAAATTTTAGTATTATATTAGAAAGTATGTTGTTGGTTTTGCACTTACATTTTAAGGTAAATGAAAAAAATTATGTCCAGTTTTTAATTATATAAAATATTATTATAAAATGGTTTGTTTTTATAAAAGCATATTAAGGGAACAATTCTGGACATGATTTGTTAGGAAAAAAACTTATATAAATGTCTTATTTTCAGAATTTGTAATATATATCGCAGTGTCTTTTTAATTCCTGAAAGCATGTTAGAAATGTGTGAGGATAAGTTTATTATTTTATAAATCATTCTCCAAAGAGAAATGTGCCCATTGTTTCAGCATTGAACACATCTGCATCCATTTTAAAAGAATAAATATTTGAAGCAATATTTTATATAGAAATAAGTTATTTAAGAAACCTGATACTGGGGCTGGGAAGTTGGCTCAGTGGTAGAGCGCTTGCCTTGCATGCCTGAGGCCCTGGGTTCGATTCCTCAGCACCACATAAGCAAAAAGAAAAAAGCCGGAAGTGGTGCTGTGGCTCAAGTGGTAGGGCACTAGCCTTGAGCTGAAGAGCTGAGGGACAGTGCTCAGGCCCAGAGTTCAGGCCCCACAACCGGACCAAAAAAAAAAAAAAAAAAAAAAGAAACCTGATACTAAAGTCATCAAAAGTCACCAAATGTCATACGCAAATCTTATAAGTTCTGTAACATTAGCTGGTAGAGTTTTGTATAATGAGATCTGATCAAATTCCCAGAATAGACATGCTTTATGAATCTTTGAAAGTAAGTGTAATGACACCTATATAAATAACATCTGTGTTCATGAACCATTGTTAGTATTGTTTCCAAAAAAATGTTACCTAAAGGTTTAATGTAGAATGTGGCCTCATGCAATCACATTTAAAATAGTCTCAAAAACAACAATAACAACAAACACAGTGCAGTGCAGGGTCTGCAAGTATAGATGCAAAAGTTATGGAAAGCCATGGACGAAGACTGAAGTTGGTAGTCTTTCAGATATTTCCCGGGCAAAGTGTAGGCAGCAGCAATTTGAAGAAGAAATCACAAGTTAATATGCTGCCCTAAAACACGTAAGCGTAAATGTTACCCCTCGTGTCCTCCAGCTATTGAAGGTGAAGTAACTCAGTCACATTAGTCAGCAGGAGTATAAGTTACATAGAAATGACTGTCTCTTGCAGAATACTCCATTTTTCAATAAACCGTGGGGAAAATGTTAAGGATTTTTTGATGTTCGTGGAACTATTGACATGGCTTATCTCCCCATAAATGCACTAAAGTAAGTGCAAGGATGAAGGATTGTTAAAACTAATGGTGTAATGTTGCCATATAGAATGAAATAAAAGGCTTGGATATTAAAAGTAAGAGAAAAATTGAAAAAGAAACAAAGGTTTTAATTTATTTTATAATTTTACAAATAGTCAATTATATCCACTGCTATACACAAACAATAGGGAAACAGTGTTGAACAGAATAAATCCAACAGGAAAAAAAATAACCTCATTTAATTTCACAAATGACATAAGAAATACTCAGTAGCAATTATCCTGTGCAGCAATTCTATCTCTGTAAACTCTTTTTTTCCTGCTATATACATTTGAAACAAACACTTGTGCTTTTGCCTACACAACAAAATAGTATTTAGTAAAAGGCGCTACTTCGATGGAAAACACAATCCGAAAATTGCTATTGAAGTAATGTTGCCAGCTGATGACTTTTTATTCCTTTGCCGTTTTCCTTTTCTGTTATTTGTTTTGATTTTGAGGGAGTTAGACACAGTAGTCTCTTACTGTAACTCTAGGCATAGACAACATAGAATTCAGTTATAAAGTGGATTTCCCTTAGCAGGTTAATAAATGAAGTCTCAAAAGAACTTCTTTTTTTCTAAAGTGGCCTTACTTATCTCCAGAGTTATTCTCAGTTCAGACCCTGAAGATGTTCACATAACACAAACCTAGTGTGCACATATTACAGACTTGGTGTGTACGGACAAATACACATATATAACATTGTATATATATGCATCACACGAGTCTATTTGTACTACATAGGTATATTTATAGCACATATAATAAAATATCTATTTCTAGGTGGGATTTATTTGAGTTATCTTTTATTAAATACAAACAATAACCTCACTCAATTTTTAAGACATTGGTATATTGATACTATTTGACGGGGAACGTCCAAAAATTGTAGCGATAACAACTAACTATACATAATTTTCCCCACACCCCTTCCACAATTATAGTCCTTACAATAACCACATGAAGACAACGCTTTTATGAATCAGATCCACATTCTATGCAGCACAACTAGCTGGCTCAGAAATAAATTAACCTTTTCTTTGAAGTAGATTTGAAACTAATTGGTATTTACATTACCCCAGCTTCTTTTTTTAAATAAATCACTTCTATAAGCATATATGTAGAAATTCCATTAACAATTGATTTACAATTCATATGATACACAGCACATGAAGACATGGGAATGCTCAGCATCTTCTTTCAGGCAGGAAAATTTCCCCAGTGGTCTCATTGGTCCTGTAAGCTAAATCATTAAGTTTGCCCCGAAAATCTGATCCTGACTCACTTTCTATTTCAACAACTTAATTCTAATTATAGAACATGGAAATGTTTCCTTGGCCTACTCACATCATCAACACAGTAACAACCTAAAAACCAGGAATATATCAGTCAGCTGCCTGAGCATTGCCAGGGACAGGGTTAAATCATAGAAAATTAATAAAACATTAAAGCTGTGAAATATGAAACTATCAAGAGATCAACTCCTAGATATCTCAAGTATAATATATGTATATATGTAAATTTTGATTTTTTCTGATCACTTACACACCTGTCGGTTAAATCTCAACCCTTTTTTCTTCTTGATCTTACTCTTCAATAACCTCCTTGCCATTTTCATATAAGAAGGCTCCAGTAGACAATGTGGGGGAGGGAAAAGGGGGAAGGAGCAGATGAAAATGTGTATATTATTGAATGAAATGGTCCTGTACAGTTTGTCTTCTTTGAGCATTAAATTCCTTTAATTGAATTCATTCTTGAGTACTGAAAGTTCCCTGAGATGAACAAAAGTAGTTTCTGCCAAATCTCAAGCCCTTTTTTATGCTGAGCATTTTCTGATCTGGGCAAATATTTGGAGACCACAAAGCCTAGGGTAACAAATCAAGGTGAAGAAGTTGAAAGGCACTACCCAATGTGTCTATGAGACAAGCATCAACACACAGAACAGTGAATGGCAGACATGTGTTTGCTGTAGCCTTAAAATTACTTAAATACACTTGTTTGAAAATGCACTAAAAATGGCAAGGTGTCTGGCTGCTGCTTTTAAGGACATACTATTAATGAGTGTCCAGTTGGATTTTTACCTGTACAAATGTACAATTTCTAGATTTCTTTTTTTAATTCATGCTAACGGCTATAGGAACATTTTATTATAAGCAAATACTCCAATCTCAGATTCCAGAAAGCACTTATTGTGCATTGTTTTAAGCAAATCAGACTTTTCAACTTAATCTTTAAAACTTGTAGATATTTATATTTAAAATTTATCTTAAGTTGTAGTATTTTAGCTACTAGTTTCCCCTGATGCATTCTGTTTTGCATTCTTAGAGACACATGAATTCTCAGAAAATATACTCTTCTGTATCCCAACATTCTTCTATACTTTAAAAAATAATACCATGTATCATTAAAAATATTAATAAGCATACTACTGTGAATTTCTTTTCCCATGATAATAACATGATATATACATACATATATGAATATATCATGCTCTTTATTCATTTATCATATTTTTCTCCCTAAGAAACACAGCGCATATCCCTCATGCTATTTCTTTCCTCAAATTGCCTTCCCCAAGAAACAAGAAGTCATGCTAGTTGTTTCAGGACAAAGTGGAAGTGAGAATTCAGTGCTTCTGCTTTCAAAAGAGGTTATTACCATCAGAATCACCTACCAGTAGAAGTTACCAGAAAACTGGAGTATTGGTCAAGTCTGTTATTCATTGTTATTTTAAAACCCTTTATGAATAATACCATGTTCAGTATCACACATTCAGTATTAATATGACTAAATTTAACTGAAAAATATTAGTCAACTTAATTCATTTTAAGTGCAAAATACTGACACACAGTTCCATTGCCAAGCTTCTTAAAATTAATCATCTCAATTATTAAACAATACTTGTGTTATTTCTATACTAAGAAATTTAACAATGATATAAAGACTGTGCTGACCAGAGAGGTATTGAAGAACTAGATGTCACATTTCAGATATATCAATCAAATATTATTCTAAAGGGCAAACTGCTTCCACATATTTTTTTGTGAAATGTAAAAGGCATAACATAAAAACAAAGCTTGAGTTTGGAAATTTTAAAATACTTAGAGTCAGTTTTACAGTATAATAATATGTTCATGAAAGAAGAGCGGTTTGCTGTGTAGAAATATGAATATAATCTTTGGTACCAAAAGTGCAATTTCTGCTAAATTTCCCATTTCAGAGAACATGTGACATGTCTCCTTTAGAATGGTTCACTTTAGAATGGGATGATTCACTTTGGTTGGTACCTTCTTACACCATTGCAAAGTAATGTGGAGGTTTAGAGTTGTGCAAAATAAAAAGTTTAAAATTGGTGTGATTGCTCTTTTTTAAAAAATGTAAGAAATTTAGAAAATATTTGATTTTTATTTTTCTCATTCTTGTATATTTTCCATTTCTTTTTCTCAGAAAAGGATTTCTAAGCACCCAATACCCAAACCAAAGGAGTTTTGATTACAAGAAAACAATCAAAACATAAATAAGAACACAAAACACATGATCAGACTCAGAGTCCCGACTGAAGGCATTTACTTGAGTGGTTTGATCTGATGGACTTCACTGCTCAAACTGTTTTCATCAAGATTTCTGTTGACAAGGGCGATCTAACTTCTCAAGGACTGAGCTGTATTCATTCGTGGGTTCCTCGTTTGATGTGCTCGGCATTGCAGTGGCAGCCAGACAGTGATGAACATATTTGCTTTGTTGCTTAATGATGAGTGCATTGTTGGATCTTGTAAACACTACTGATTATACATTCAGACTGTATTCTTAGTGGAAGTGGCACTTACTAGGACCCATGAAGTCAAAATATTGAATTGTTAGAGCACTTAGCAGGTATTTCATCAGCTGGTCATGGATTTCACATGAATTTCCTTATCAATTTTTTCAGTGAACAGGTAAATATTGAAAGCAAGTCTTACTTTGGATCCTGTTTTCAAATCTTCAGAATCATCTTTCGTAAAGAAGTGTATGTTGTGTCGTGTGTGTGTGTGTGTGTGTGTGTGTGTTTTGAACTGTGCTTTATTGCTTCATACACTTTCCTGTTGTCAGTTTTAGAGCTCCTCGATTATGCAGCACGTTTAATGTTTTGAATTCTAATGGCATTCTGTGAGGACTTGCATTGGAAAAGTACCTATATTTTAAGTCATCATAGTAATGGTATTTGACAGCTTTTCCATTCAAATCTTTAGGGAATGGCCAGAATCCATATAGATGAATTTCGTCACAGAATCTTGTAGCAAGTGTATACATGAGGAGGCCTGTGCTTGGCCGTTTGATGGGCACTTTATTTGTCAGCCAGTAACTAGGAGAAAACAAAAACAAAAAACAAAAGATCAGAGGAGTTTAGAGTAACATAAAATGGACAACATATCAAACATGTAATGTGGAAATTTTAAATGTATCTTGTGACCAAATATGTTAAATGATTACTGAAAAATTAAATTTTAAGCATTTAGAAAGTTTTGTGTTTTGAAGCTAACCTCATCCTTCATTCTGTTTATTTATAAGATATAAATCACCAGGGGACTCAAATGAAGGTAAGTATTGTTTTGAATATCAGGATCAAGATGGATTATCAACACATCTTTTATAATATACAGAATAGAATCTTCTCAGAATGGATTAAGTATGAATACAAGAGGCGATATCAAACAGGTTGGAATTAAATAATCCTTATAGGAAACATTAATTTTAAATTATACCTACATATTTTCAGAATACCTAACATTTGAATTAAAATTCCAAATAAATAAATACCTGCTTTCATTATGTCAGATGAGATTTTTGAATCCCTAAGTTGAAAATTCAAACTATGTTAAAAGTATTAAAAGCCATATTTTGGTGGCACACATCTGCAATCACAGCTACTCAGGAAACGGATGTAGAATTATTCTGAGTCTGAGATGAGCAGAGATAAAATTAATGTGACCCTACACCAAAAACAAACTGATGAGCTGTGAAAGTGGCCAAGAGGTAGAACAATAGTTTAGCATATTCCAGGCCCTGGATTAAATACTCAGGACAACTAGATAACTAAGGAAGTTAAAAGTATTACCTCCACAAGTGAAAAACAAACAAACAAACACTAATAATATTGAAAGGGTGACATTGATCAAGCTATATTGTATTAATAAGTTGCTCAGTTAAGTGACAAAAAATCCAATTTATTGTATTCATATATTACTTTGTTGAATATGTCAACTCATTTTACAACTATTTAAAGATAAAATAAAGATTTTTAAAATACACTGTAGGATAATTGATAAGTCATATATCATCTATACAGTATAATACTGAAATACATGTTGCTATGTATTCCAATGCTTTTAAGAATTTCATAGTAGTTAATTACAAAAAACCATTAAGATAATTCAAAATGTTAAATCTACCATTGTTGCCCAAGTCTTTTGGCCTCAAAAATATGAAAACTCTTAAATAAATCATCACTTCTACTGAAAAGGGGTTTTCCATTACTTCTTGACATATTCATTGCCTTTAAAACAATGAGCTAATATGAAAATAGCTAAAAGGGGAAGAGTTTCTATTTCCCTTTACTTCACAAGTTGTCCTATTGTAAATATAGTTAATGGAGTTCTTTCTGTTTGTCTTCACTATTGACTTCAATTTGAGGTAACACGTATCTTAAAATCGAAATGTGGAAAAAAATTGTATTACTACACATTGCTCTAGTTAATGCATGTGCTTTTGAATTAAACAGTATTCTTTCTTCTTTGTATTTTTGAAAAATGAAGCCTTTCAAAAGAAAACAAGATATATTTTGAATACTGAATATGAACAAAACAAACTTGAAATGCTACTTTTCTTCAATTGCTTCTAGATGTACCATACTTCCAAACCTCTCCACACACTTCCACCACAAGAACACTCCACTGCGATTCCCTATTTCTCCTTTCTAATGTTTTTATTCTAATGATAATTGGCCTGACATTTCTTTTCTATTCTTCCTTTTTATTTTTCTTTTGTGGTGTTGGGGATGGAAGCCAGGGCTTTCTGTGTGCTAGATGAGCAATCTACCAATGAACATTTATGTGCCACAATTTGACCCAATCCCATTTCTACTTGCTCTCATGTGTTGGATAGCATAGGGTAAATATTATAAGCTATGTAAAATGTATTGATTTTTGTTGTAAAGAACATTTATAAGGGATTTTCAGATTTTAAAAAAAACACCTAAAAATCTTTCTCATAACCCATAGGTACCCAAACTTAGTAAAAACTAAATTTTGTACATAGTTCAACTCATGAAAGAAACACAGAAGGTCAATCTATTCAGAAACATAGTCTCCACTTGAAGACCTGAGATTGATGTAGCCTGAAATTTTCTGTGTTCTAAGAAAGCAAGTGCTATTACCATGAACAGATTACTATAGGAAATTTTTGTGAGTATGATCTGTAGTTATAAATGTCAGAAGGTGAAACTGGTGAATAAAATTACATTTATTTATAAACTTCTATGGTGGTTTGCCAAATTGAAACTCAATCATAAGGAATATTTTATGGGAAAATAACAATGATTGGGAAATATAGCAGTATGAAAATTACATTGATTTTTTTCTAAAGTGAGTAAAACATCAGTAGTCTAAAATAATATAGTTTTATTATTTCTCAGGGATTCCAAGTCTTATCAATAAATAGTTTTTAACTTTTAATTTGAAAAGTACAAGTAACTGTATTTAGATACATACAAAGACCCAAGTGATTTCTATATGGAACACAAATTAACTACAATGTTATAAAGATAAGCTGAAGGTGAAAATAATTTACTTCAACAATTCAAAGCAGAGATGTGTTATCAGTCAACCTTTTTGATCCACAGTTGTTCCTGAGGTACTACATTCAAAATTCATGACTGGTTCCAATGGTTGGGGCATAGAGCACCTTATTTAAAAATAGTAGAGAACTTCAACATTTTTTTGTTTTCTTATACCATATATGTTAATCTATGCAGATTAGTTTATCTTCACAAGAAAAAGTAAATCTTATGATGTTTGGATATCTAAACTTCAAATTATTACAAAGAAAAAAAACTATTCACTTGTCAAAACATGTTTGGAGAAACAATAAAATAAATTACTTATCTGATAAAGTTTTAAAATGCATCACTGGAAAAGTAGATCTTAACAAATAACAGAAAAATGTAATAGATAAGGTGAAAAAAATTTAAAAAGGTCTTAACTAAGTTCACAGTAATAACATTCTATGAATCCGAAAATCACAGAAGCCTAAAGGAATATTGTTGGAAAGAAGTACTGTGAGTTTAATGATGTGCTCAAATTTTATAGGCAGATTGGAATGATCAAGATTCAAGATGTGGAACAAATTCCACATCTGTAAAAGACAAGGATAAATACTCTTTTCCAACTCTGTTACTATATCCAATTAGATATATAATAATATTGTAAGCCACACTAGTGAATACAAGTTCAAGAGTCATACTTAAAACTACATAGCTACATAAAAGCTGACATGAAGAAATTAAAACTTTTATGATGACTTAATTCAAAGTTAGAATACTGACTTGTTTTAAAAATCTGAATTAATAAAACTCAATTTAAAATATCATTTATTAAGATAATGAAACTTCTACACTGGAATTCAGTACAATAGGTGCTAATTTACCTTAAAATTATATTTTTATAAGATGGTTTAAAATTTAGCACGATTCTGTTTATCGCAGCATTATTCACCATAGCTAAGATATGGAACTAACCCAGATATCCCTCAGTAGATGAATGGATCAAGAAGAAGTGGTATACACACACACACACACACACACACACACACACACAATGGAATTTGATGCCTCCATCAGAAAGAATGACACAACCCCACTTGTTAGGAAATGGAAAGACTTGGAAAAAATTATATTAAGTGAAGTAAAAGTAAGCCAGACCCAAAGAAACATAAGTCTCCTGGTTTCCCTTATTTGCAATAATTAGTATATGTCTAGGATAATCTTACCAGAGAAACAGAAAAGGTCAAAAGCTATGTATATATGACCATATAAGATGATGCTAAGTGAAATGAACCCCAAAATATGGACACAACAGGTTTTTCTTTTGTCTTTGTTGCTGTTGTTTTTAAAGTACTATGTGATTTTTTTATTCTTTTGTATGTTCTCCCCCCATGGTATAACCCCTGTTTTCAGTGTATTTGATTCCAGTGCCCTGCATCTTGTATATACATTTATCTAATTTGGGGAGGGGAAGGGAAATAACAAAATGCTGAAACAAGGACACAAGCTAACCCCTTGTAACAATGAGGTATACAAGACACTATGTTGAAAATGAACTTTATAACTTTGGAGGGTGGTAAAGGGAAGGAGTTGGGGAGGTGGGGAGGGAAGGGATAGAAGGAGGGGGTAACAATGCTCAGTAGGAAATGTACTCATTACCTTACACATATAACTGCATCCCCTCTGTACAGTATCTTTACAAGAAAAGATTAAGAAAATAAAAACAAAAAAGAAAAGCAAGAAAACAGCAATATATTTAATTTATCAAGTAATACAGCTTACATGTACTTAATTTTTTTAGGGAAAATCAGGGTATAATCCATGAATCTGTAGGTGATTTGAAGATGTAATGATATAATGGGAAAAAAAATTCTGACATGTGACATATAAACAAGAACACAGACATACATGAAAAGTTGCCTCCTCTGAGTCTCCACATCATTGTATCTTACAATATATTATGATCATTTATACACACATAATTAAGCTCATTACTGAAGTTAATTTTTATCTTTGGTGATCCTTCCTTCCTTCCACAGTAGAGGATACTGAGGCCTGGGGTTTGGAAAATGTAATCACATGATTTAGGTCCTGGAGGATGTAGGTGACAAAACCTTAATTTAAGATTAACTCTGGGGCTGGGAAGTTGTCTCAGTGGTAGAGTGCTTGCCTTGCATGCATGAGGCTCTGTGTTAGATTCCTCAGCACCACATAAGCAGAAAATAGCTGGAAGTGGTGCTATGGCTCAAGTGGTAGGGCCCTACCCTTGTGCTGAAGAGCTGAGGGACAGCGCCCAGGCCCAGAGTTCAGCCCCCACAACCGACCAAAAAAAATAGTTTAACTCTGCCTTGCTATGCAAATATTTTGATTTTAACTAACAAGGCTATAGGTTCCTCAGCTTCTCGAGTTTCATTTTACAACACAGTGGACTGGGTTGAAAAATAAGTTCTATAATCTTACAGTAATTAGTGATTTAACTAGTGGTGTGGTCTATGCATAAAGCTTTTTGTCACTTTCATACTGGACTCAATTTTCCTAATGCACAC